TAAAAAAATTATTAAAAAAGTCTTTTTTAATAATTTTTTTACATCAGGTCAAAGTCAAATTTAAACATGTAAAAATGCATAATTTGTGTTCAAACTACAAATAATCATCATTATGCCTCTTTTTTTCGGAATTTTTTTAGTTCATATAGAAGATATACATGTCTAAATTAATAATCAGTTTGATTTTTTTCATTTCAGACAAGAATTGCGAGCGGCATCGTGTACACAGATGGACAACTCTAGAGTCTGGGCGCTCCACACAATAGCCTCTACATCCGCCATTTTCTATTAAATTGCTCCATAAAAATTCACTTTATACCCTTTGAATACATATTAAAATGAGGCATAAACGTTTAAGAAGTTTAATTATTTTTTCCCTTCTAAAAAAATTCCCAAAATATTGCTATTTTTTGGCCTTGTAAAGCAGACTACCCCCTTAAAACAGACTACCGCCTTAATAATTTATGAATAAACAGTCACGTTATTACAATGATCACTGATTTTATTCCCTGAAGTTACACTGCGACCTGATTAACACAGTTTCGGGCGCGAACGACGTAGTCGGCAAACCGATTACGAAAATTAGCGACGATTAAAGATGCAATGTTCTCTTCTGAAGCTTAATTACTTAAGCAACGGCGAGCGAATCGTGCTCCGATTACCGTGCTCCGACTTTTTGACAGGACGCGTAGAGATCCTCAAGTAAGAGATGCGCGAACTTCGAACATTTGCAAGTATGGCGATCTCCACACACATATAACACATAATGGAGATCGCCATGTTCTTGCAAGTTGCGCGCAGGCATGAGCGCCGCGAGCGTACGAGAGTGTGTATTAGGATCGATACAATCGATCCTAGGGCGGAATCCACAGACGGTGCTCAAAATTTGAGATGGTCGTAAGTTAGTGCATGAACCAATCAGAAAGCCATATTAGCATCTTAAGATATTGCTTGAGATTAAGACCGGATTATGGATTTCGTCCCTAATTCCTTATAATCTAACGAAGAAAAGGTGTCGCAAGCTGCTGAGAACAGGGACGAGTTATATATTTTATTTAATATCTTACAGATGCTTAAATTTTCATCAAGAAAATAAGAAAAAGAATTTACTCATGCAAAGATGACATCAACAGATAAAGTTACAGTTGACTTATAAAATGCACAGATTGGGAATATATGCATGATATCTCCCGATAAAGTATTACGACTTGAATGCACCTTCGGTGGAAGGAAACAAGAGATTATAAAATAAAAAAAAGGTTACATTGAAAAAAGTTACAAAATTGTAATATTTGTTTAAATAATACCAATGGAATATTCCCATATAGCAAAGTGTGTCTCAGCAAAATCGTGATTACTTATGATGCTGACAACTTGCCATAGATTTGTCTTCAACGATTTCGAATATACCGACATTGTAGCAACATGAAGACAATAATGTGTATATGTATTGCCAGCAGTTTAACAGCAAGATACCTGCATCAATGTTATCTTGCGTTGTCGGCAATATGACAGCATTGATGCTGCATATTATTATGGCAACATGATGGCAATAGTACGAATTTTAATGATGACGATTTTAAAGTTGTCGGCAAATTGCTAGCAAGTTGCTACTCAATGTTATCATATCGTGAAGGCAAGTTGCCAACAAATGAGAACCCAGTTGCTGCAATTCTGGTAACAACACATATTTAGCAATGCATACTTAGCAGGCAACATGTTAGCAATAAGACACACATTGCTATCTGGGTTTGTTTACAGTAAATAAATGTTTATTTTAAAAAATAATACTTAAATCAAAGTATTACTTTTTATTGAATAAATTTTTATTCACTATTAGCAAATGTCTCATTGATACTATTTTACAAATATTTATTAAAATTTCATAAATTTTTGTTTTGAGTATATAAGAAGCGAATTACTTACGGTCAATTATTAATTACGTGCCTAAGCTTAACGCTTACAATAGCCAAAATGAACGACTTCACTTATTTTAATGTGAGCACTGACAAACCAAATTGATCACCAAAAAGCAGCGCTTATAAGCATGAGCGCTTACAGCGTGTGAGCGTGCAAACCGAACGCAGCCTCTATGTATACAATCTCTTTGATTTTTCCGGGTTTCGTCAGTATTTCCCCCTCCCCCAGCGTGCGATGTCGCGAAAAACTGGTGAGAAACGGTTCGGCGGTCTTCGTGCGTGCTCGATCGAGTTCGAGGCACCGTATACTAACAAGGACTTAAACCAGTAAAATTAGAAACGATGCATATCTGGGGATGCATTACTGCAAATGTGCCAAAAATGAATATTTAAAATTTTTCTTTTTCTTTGTACAAAGTCGATGTTTGCAATAGCTATTTTTATATGTACTTAATTGTGTATAAGAATTTTGCAATTCTAATAAGCTAATTCAAACCCAGAGAACATTATACAATATCATTTTAAAAACACCTATATATATATATATATATATATATAAAAGATGTCCTAAAATTTTATACATTATTAAATTTTATACTTTTTAAGGATTTCTTAAAAAGACGTCTATGGACAGTATTCACAGTCCATTCTTATTTCAAGACCGTCTTAAGTAATGTTTTAATATGCTAATACAGTCCTCTCTCGCCTCCGATCGGCTTATGACATCTTAAGACTATACTTAAGACAGTTGCAAATATAAGAATCGATTATGAATACTGGCCCATAAGATATCTTAGAATTCATCTTTATGCCGTCTTTACGGCATCTTTCAAACGTCCTTTAATGCGGAGTTTACAATAGAAGTCATAGACGATTATGAAGTCTTAAATCGTAGGAAATTCACCAATCGTAGTTGAATATGAGGAGAATAATCGATTATAATTGGTCAATTTCCTATGACCTAAGACCCTACAACCATTCACAATTCCTATTGTAGACCCCGCATTAGACTTCTTACATTTCGATATCTTTTAGTCATCTTATAATAATTTTGATATTGATCGATTTTAGTTTATATTAGCTGTATTTCGATATACACTACTGAAAATCTTTTAATATTGATAATCCAGAGGATATTGAGGAGGCGTCTTATAAGACTCTCAAAGGACATCTTAAAATTTATGTATGCCCAAGAAAGAGATATAAAACGTCTTATAGACATCTTGAGGACATTTCTATGATATGATGTTTGAAACATATCTTGATAACATCTTCAGGACGTCTTATGTTCGCATTTTGGATATATTGCTGTCAGGGTAGTATCTTGATTTTGTAGTACACTTGGTTCTCATAGTTTCGATAATTGTGATATCTACAGCTATATTCGGTTAATAAAATACTTTAACGCTATTTTTATAGGATGAGAATACCGATGCTACGACCGTTGCGACGATCAATCAACTTGGGAATATTGAACAGGCTGGACTGCCGGATGGTGGACAAGCGATCGAATTCATGACTCAGGATGGACAGAAGGTTCGCGTCTTAACATCGTATCCTATCGATCCGATTCAGCTAGCTTCAGAGTACCTGACTATTGTGTAACGAAAGGAAAATTAATAAATGCGTTCGTGATCAATGCCGTCTCTATTGTGAATATTTTGACTCTCTATCGAATCATTAGAAATTTATATAGATTTATAATCGCAAAAAACTTTAAGAGATTCTTTGATATCTTCATTCTAACACGATTGTGTTAAATATAATCTTGCTACTTGTAACGTTTCTATTAATGGTGTAGTTTATCCGAAATTAGAGCGGAGCTATTACGTCTAAGCACAAAATCTTTTAAATTGTTAAAAGATATAAACGCGATAACGTTTACAAATTAAAAACAGTGTACACAGGATTATAATTATTATCATAAATTAGTTATTCCATTAACTATTTCACCAATTTTTAGTGATAGCCCAATGATAATTGATTTCTTATATAGTGATAATAATGCTAATTTATTATCACTATAAGAAATCGATTGTCATTAGGGTATTTATTTATTGCGTTATTCATTTTAATCTTAACAGACAAATATTTTGAAAAATATGAAAGTTAAACGAAAAATGTTTCAGACATAAGTGGAACGGTTTTGAGGGGAACCTGTCTTTGGTCACGTTATTTTTTCTAGGTGCGCCAAAAAGATATGAATATCACCTCTAGTTTTTTAAATGGAATTGTATGATTTTTTTACATATGATTCTTCTAATTATTTTGTATGTGAAATTATTAAGATAAAGATATAAAAAAAACCAATACTTTATGAGATATTTAATATTTTGTGTGAATATATGCCAGAATAAAGTATAAAATATCTCATAAACTGGTAAATTATTTTTATTTCACTACCTTAATACTTATGCGGAATAAAAATAATAATAACACAATCCGTAAAGGCCATACGAGTCACGGGCTGATGAAGGTGCCAACGATTAATTTCAATCTTAATTAATCATAAATGTGTAGAATCCTCTTTATGCGGAATAATTAGAGGTATAATGTTATATAAAAGAATCATATAATTCCACTTTAATAATAATAATAAAATTTAATAAAATAACTGTAGGTGCCCTTTGTATCTTTTTGGCGCCTCCACCTAGAAAGAAATAACATGATCAAAAAATACATCTTCCTAGAAATCATTCCACTTTTGTCTGAAACGTTTTTTTTACATCTTCTATATTTTTCGAAATATACTTCTGTTGAGATCAAAATGAATCACCCCGTATATTAATAATAGATTATATTATTATTATTATAAGAATTTGATATAATGATGTGTATAAATTTATATGTTACAGCGTTTTAAGCATCATGTGTACTTAGATTTATCGGAGCATATGCTAGTGCGTGTGTGTGCGCGTGCGTGCATGCCTATACATATGTATACGTATACAAGATTATCCTTAGTAAAGTTACAACATATTCAAAAGAATGAAAGATCTGTTCGAACATCTTTTGTTTTAAATATCTCGTATTCTTTCTAAAGTCAGGTTTTAACTTTGCTGAATGCTTAATTTTTTTCTAAAAAGTTAGAGATTAGTATTTAAAAAATTATTTGAATTTTTTTATTGCAAGAAGTATTTATTACGAGTGATCCGTTTGACCATGTTGCGATTGACCACCAGCCACTGATTAAACGGATCCCTTTCATTTATTGCAAGCATCTTAAGACGACATTGTCGAACATGCATTACTTGTTATAAAAGTTATTCAATTTTACTGTCTTTTAATTTGTTGCTATTTTCCAAAAATACCCTATATACATCATTGTACATATGTATCAGTCATCATAACATATATATGTTGTGTAACCTGTATTTTTGCTGTACATGTCACTAATATGTTTATAAATTCGCGGGTTAAAGTTTACCTTATGTGTACATATAGTCTAATGTTAGATCTTATTCTATCTTACAATATAGATAATGTAGAACGTTTTTTTATATTCAGCCACGTTAATGTAAATTGTGTATTGATTTATTACATATCGAACAACGTTGTATATATGATATCAGAAAAGAAAGAACATTTGAATTCATACGAAAAAGATGCTCCCCGAAAGCTCTCTTCTTGTTTTGTAATCAATTTTCTGAATAAATTTTAGCTGTTTTCAACAGTTTTTTTCTATTAAATTATTTCTATGAATAATAACAATATCTTCGAAAAAATTAAAATTATTATTTTATTAGCGCCTTTTCTTCTGTGATAAACGTCACGGGGATGTGTGCCATCCGTATTGTAAATATTATAATACACCAATCACGGTTCATAAAAAATGAAAAAAAGATTCAAAAAGACAAGAAGTATTTGATAAAACTTTAGATTAATATCGACTTCACAGATTTCAGTGACTTTAACATATGTTGTCAAAGTCATGACCCTCAATGATCTTCAACAAATCTTAATCTTGTTACTTGTTAAAAGGTTAACGAAAAAAGGTTTAAGGAACAACATCTCTTTTGCTGTATACAATATTAAGAACTATCCCATACCCAACACACACCCTCTCTTACATAAAGAAAATGTGTGCAAAGTCGGACGCCCCTAGATAGGAAGGGGAGTGTGGGATGAACCTCGCGTTGCATGGAAAATAGTATCTTCTTCTTTTTCTTCTTGATTGGCCCGGCAGTTAAACAGGCTGATACTGGGATTGAGGACTACAGCGTAAGGTGTAAATTGCTCGAGATAGTGCACCAGTGAGTGTAGCATGAGTTAATAGGTGTTGCTATTTCCCTCCGTCCAGACGCCTGCTGCCACCAGACGGTATAAGTCGCGCGCCACAGGAGAAGAGGGAAATTTAAAAGAAGAGTTCACTAGCTTTCATGAAAGCTAGGAAGAGCCTACATAACTTGAGGGGGAGGGTGGGAAAGGAGGGGGAAGATGTCCTCGGGGGAATTAGGATATTTGTTATGAAAGTAAGAACGAAGTCGAAGAGCTTTGTAATTATAAAGGTTATTTTCGAATATAACATGATTGATACATTGCGCCACATGAGCAGGAAGGAGAGTCGATCATATTAACTATACAAACTTTCATTTAGATTGTAGTGATTAGATCTCAAATGATTAATCATGATTATTTCTTGTCTGCTGAGGGAGGATCCAAGTTTTCTTTGAAATAGGTGGGTAACGCTCGAAATGGAGTGCCCCTTTGGTAGAAGCCTTTGCCTTGAGATAGTTATTAAATTGCACCGCGACCGTGTTTCTGGATTCGCAGAAAAAGTCTTCATGTGGTACTCTGAAGTTGGGAGAAAAACCTTTGGTTGCAGCTTCTTTGGCAACAGAATCAGCAGTTTCATTTCCCGGAATACCAGAATGGGAAGGAATCCAAAAGAGAATGATGGAGATATTGCCCTTAGCTGCGTTCAGAATGGCTTGCCTGATGAAATAAATTATGTAGTTGCGTTGGAGGTACCTGTTGTTGCAGATAGCATCGAGGGCGCTCTTGGAATCGTTAAAGATGGTAATGCGGTCATGCTTGGAGTCTCGAGCGAGTAGGACAGCTTGGTAGATCGCCCAGAATTCAGCAGAGAAAATAAAAATTTCAATTGGAAGTTTATGTGCAATGTTGATATTTAAATCGAGAGAAAAGACTCCCGCACAGACGGAATAACCGGGTTCCTTGGAATCGTCCGTGTAAAAGGTGACTGCGTTTTGTCTATAATCAAATGCAGTGTTGGAACGTATCTAGATAAAAGATCTAGATACAGTATCTAGATACTTTAGCTGTACCTAAGTGCATTACCTAGATTCTTATAGGCGGAGATACCTATATCCGTATCTAGTTACTTTTTGATACGGTATCTTTTAAGTTTTAGATACATAGATACAAGGTATTTATACACAAATACTGTCGCCGCCATTAAGAGTGCCTTCCTACAAGCGACACAGTATAACACAGTGATCATCTCATCCTTGTTTAACATTGACGAACAACAAGGATGTAATGGTACACTGTGCCTCATACCGTGTCATCTGTGTCGCTTGTTGAAAAGCATATTAAATCAGCTCAGAAATTAGCAATCTAGTACTAGTATCTATGCGCTGATATACTAATTAAAGACCGATATTCTTATAGTTAAAGCTGTTCATTAAAACTAAAAATTTATGTAATCAAGGGTAAGAAATTGATAATTAGTAGAATTAATTTTATGATTTATCAGTTTTATAGATATGTATATGCATGTGTAAAACTAAATAATACTCGATATTTATTTAAAACTATTAATGAAACCGATTTTAATGTTATCGTCTGGGTTTTGTTAAAATAAACAAACAAAATGTGATATTTAATTTACGTTGCTTATTACTTCTACTTTTCCTGTTTTCCCCCATTTTTTCTTCTTTTTTTGTTGAAAGTACCTAAAAAATATCTAAATTTTCAGATACTTTTTATTTATATTATATCTGTATCTATTCCTAGGTAATTGTAAAAAAATGTATCTATACTTATATCTGAATACTTTTCCCACACAATACCTATATCTATATCTAGATACCATTCAAACGGTATCTGTTCCAACACTGATCAAATGACTTATGGAGGAATTGCGCAGCTATAAATCCTTGAGGGTTCTTCTTGTCACAGACTACCATTATACTAATATAGCTAATCTTATATAATAAAACTTCCAGGTCGTGTCAAAAAACTGCCGGATAAGATGAGCGGTGAATAAGTTTTTCTGAATGCTTGTTTATGATTGTTTAGACTAAACTCAGTAAATGTTCATTACGCGAATTATTTTACATCGGCATATTGTATTCAGACTCATATAACTCATATTATTAAACATGTGTGCTCGTTATCGATTTACTTTCAACGATTATTTCCGTCGACAATTATTCTGTTCAAACCGTGCTTGTTACCGGTACCGATACTGTCAGAATTCATGATAGTATTCTCATTATCATTCTGACAGTATCGGTACCGGTAACAAGCGCGATTTGAACAGAATAATTGTCGACGGAAATAATCGTTGAAAAGCTTCACGAGAACAAAGGAAAGGTTGCGAATGTATACATCGTGTGACACGAAGTAAACAGCTAATCGGTAGAAACCGATCGGCTGTTTACTTCGTGTCACACGATGTATACATTCGCAACCTTTCCTTTGTTCTCGTGAAGCGAAGGATATCTCTCGATATGTGTGTGTACCTATCGCTTAACGATCAAGTTCAGTTGACTTCGAATAAAGCTCAGCAGCACATCTCATTGTACATCGCTCTAATTCTCTACTCTTTTCGACACCTTCTAACTCCTCGTGATTGTTCGCGTATAATTCCGACATCACCAGCGGACCTGGTTTCCGGTATCACTTTCCATTCGCAATACTCACAACAATGATG